TGCCCTCCCTGCAGGCCTGGTCTGCCACAACTCCCGTCCCATGCAGGCTTGGTACCCCAACTGCCCTCCTCTACAGCCCTGATTCCCCCCCAACTGCTTCTCCTGCAAGCCTGGTCCCCCCAACTTCTCTCCCCTGCAGACGTGGTCACCCCCAGCTGCCCTCCCTTGCAGGCCTGGTACCTCCCAACTGCCCTCCATTGCAGGCCTAGTCACTAACTGTCCTCATCCCAACTGCCTTCCCCTGCCGGCCTGGTCCCCCTAACTGCCCACCCCTCCCTGCCCAATTTCCCCTAACTGCCCTCCTCTGCTGGCCTGGTCACCCTCAACTTCCCTCCTCTACAGGCCTAGTCACTCCCAATTGCCCTCCCTTGCCAGCATGGCTGCCGTTAACTGCCCTCCCCTGCTGGCCTGGTCATCACCAACTGTCCTCTCTGCAGGGCTGATCTGCTGAAACTCCCATCCGCCGCGCTGTACTTCTCTCCACTGCGGGCCTGGTCTCCCCCCCCAAAGTGCCCTCCCCTGCAGGCCTGCAATTCCCCCCCCCCAACTGCCCTTTCCTGCCAGCGTGGCCACTCCTAATTGTCCTCCCTGCAGGCCTGGATGCCCCCAACTGCCCTCCCCTGCAGGCATAGTCACCCCTAACTGCCCTCCTCTGCCAGCCTGGTTGCCCCCAACTGCCCTCCCCTGCAGGCCTGGTCACCCCTAACTGCCCAACCCTGCTGGCCTGATGGCCCACAACTGCCCTCCGCTGTGGCCATCTTGTTGCAGTCATCTTATGTCCATATGGAGGCAGCCATCTTTGACCACATAGGGAAGGTCATCTTGTGTGTTGGAGTGATAGTCAATTTGCATATTATTCTTTATTATATAAGATGGATATATATATATATATATATATATATATATATATATATATATATATATATATATATATATAATTTTGATCTTAGAGCACATGTGTCAAACACAAGGCCCGCGGGCCAAATCCGTCCCGCCAGGCCTTGCAATGTGGCCCGCACCGCGCTGTCATCACTGCACTCCGCTGCGTTTCCATCACAATGACAGTTTATGACTGTTCAGTAAACCATTCAGCCCGCGATTTAGGCTGGATTTTAGATTTTGGCCCCTTCTCTGATTGAGTTCGACACCCCTACTAGAGGAATGGAGAGAGAGAGAAACATCAATAATGAGAGAGAATCACTGATTAGCTGCCTCCTGCAAGACCCCACCCACACTGGGGATTGAACCTGCAACCCACATACATGCCCCAACCAGGAATACAACCGTGACCTCCTGGATCATAGGTTGATGCTCAACCACTCAGCCTCACCAGCTGGGCTATTTTCTTTTGAAATACTTTTTAAATATGTATTTTTTTAATTTTTATTATTTTTAAAAATTCTTTATTGATTAAGGTATTTCATGTGTGTCCTTATACCCCCATTGCCCCCTCACCTGTCTAAATACAGTGGTGCCTCACACAACGAACTCAATTCGTTCCAGGAGCAAGTTTGTTATGCGAAAAGTTCGTTATGTGAAACGCGTTTTCCCATAACAATACATGTTAAAAAAAATAATTCGTTCTGTAGCATAAAATATGCTAAGATGACATAAAAAAAGATAAATTTTTTGTTATTATTTTTATTTAGATACATCTAAAAACATAATTTAAAAAAAAAAAACACATTTTTTTAATTTTAAGACAGACTAAGTAGAGTCTACCGAATCTTGCACATCTTCATCCATTTTCTGCTTTTTGGCCCATGGTTTCATGAAAAACCTGTCCAAAGTCGTTTGTTTTTCTCTTTTCTCCAACATCTGCCGGAAATAATGGACAAGAGTATCGGAGTAAAGATCGTTGATCCTGTTTGCTTCAGCTGAATCCGGATAGTGGGCATTGGTAAACTCCTGAACTGCTTTCCATTTGACCAGGATGTTCTTGATGTCATCAGTTGGGATTGGTTGATTGTTGCTCCTCGTTATCAGATGACGCTTCCCTTTGAGCATTGTCCTGTTTCATTTCAACAGAAATCACCTTCCTGCTTTTTTTAGAAGCCATGATATAAAAAAAATATTGAGTTTAACTTAAAAGGACGACTGCCGTGATACGTGCGTGATTTAATTCGTAATGAAGAACGATTGCCGCGATACGTGCTTAAGTTAAGCGCAGTGACTAACGACTGCCTGCAGTGCCTGCGCGGAAGGATGCAATACATCCGCAGCGATCGTGGAAGCTCGGGCGACTTCGTTGTGTGAAACGAAGTTCGTTGTGTGCAGCGTTCGCTGTGCGAGGCGTTCTTTATGCGAGGCACCACTGTATGTATTTTTTATTGTTGATAATGTTACAGATGTCTTCGATTTCCCCGTGTATATGTTCTTTGGAGGATCTCTCCCAGCCCCCCCCCCCCTTCCCCTGGGAGGTCCGTCGGTCTGTCCCAGATCACCAGGCCTCTGGGCCCATCTCCTCCCTCCCCAGCCCCCCTGGCAGCCCCACACACCTTGTTTCTCAAGTTCCTGGGCTGGAAAGCCAGCCCTTTCCTGAGCGGCTGAGAGAACTACATTTCCCAGAAGGCAACGCGCCTACGCAGGGCCTTTGGAGCCAGTGCATCCGGTTTGGGCGGGACTTCCGTTGTCTTCTTCCTGGCGGACATTTTGACTTCCTCAATCTGTTCACCGGCTCAGGGGCTACGCCGCGCCGATCGCCAGAAGGAGGAGGCGTGGGGGGCGGCGTCCCGCCGGGCAGGGTGTCTGAGGCGGGGGGCCCCCACCCGGCGGGACTGGGTCCCCGGGCCCCCGCCTCCTCCCGCGGACACAGCGGCCCCGGCGGCCCTCCCGCCTCGGGGCGGCGCCGCTCAGGCCGCAGCCCAGGCCGCCGCCCGGAGCAGTGAGTGCCCGTGGGGGCCGCAGGGGCGGGCGGGGCCCGGGAGGCCGGGGCGCAGGGGGGCGGCCGGCCTGTGTGTCTAAAGGGACCGGGGCTTCCGGGAGGAGCCTGTCCTCCTCAGGGCCGGGCTGGCTGTGCGCACAGAGGGACGGAGCCCGAGGGGGCGGCGGCCCCGGGGCTGGGCCAGGCCCCGAGCAGCCTGGGCCCCGGGTCCTGGCGGCGGAGCCGGGCCCTCAGCGCCTTCCGCTCCCACAGGCCCTGCGGTCAGAGCCGCTCCGGGGCCGGGCTGTGGGCTGAGGTCAGGGCCTCCCACTGCGGGGGCCTCAGGCTGTGGGGCCTGGGCTGTCCGGCCGCTCCTCCTGCCCCGGGACCTGCAGACCCTCAGCCCAGGGTCCTGAGGCCACGGCTGGGGCTGGAGGGAGTGGACCCTGGTTTGGGCACCGGGTGGGTGAGATGTGGGAGGGCCTCCCAGGCACAGGGACCGGGATGTGCAAAGGCTGGGAGTGAAGACTGAGCTGGTCCAGGAACCATCATATATATATGAGAATAGACACATGTATATGTATATGTATGTGTACATATGTATTAAACATAATACCTATATACATGTATATGTACCAGACATACATTTATATGTATATATATCCAATACACACATATACATATATGTCTAAAATATAAATATGAGAATAGACATACACATGACATGAGAATAGACATATGTATATGTACATATACATTCAATTGTATATGCATATATACATATATGTCTATTCTCATATATATATATTTTTTTTAATTGGTTTTAAATATAGAAAGGAAGGGGGAGGGAGAGAGACAGACAGTGATGAGCAAGAAACAAGCATCTGCTGCTGCCTGCATAGGCCACTGTATGGATCCAGCCCACCACCCAGGCAGGTGCCCGGACCAGGACTGGAACCTGCCACCTCTCTGCACATGGCTCGGTGCTCAACCAACTCGGTCTCATCAGCCAGGGCTGTAGATCACTTTATTTTATTTTATTTTTTATTTACTTATTTTTAATATAGGTTATTGATTCTTTACAGAGAGGAAGGGAGAAGGATAGAGACCTAGAAACATCAGTGAGAGAGAATCATTGATCAGCTGCCTCCTGCACACCCCCCACTGGGAATGTGCCCCCAACCCAGGTACATGCCCCTGACCAGAATCGAACCTGGGACCCTTCAGTCTGCAGACCGACACTCTATCCACTGAGCCACACCGGTTTCGGCCGTGAATCACTTGAATACCAGGAATCACGGCCAGGATGGTAATGTCTCAGTAGCTCACAGGGACAGTGTGAGCTGGGGACTGGTTTCCTGCTGGGGCCCCCGTTTGAGGGAGGAGGGTGTCACAGCAAAGGAACAGAGGTGGTCATGTAGAGTGTTGAGAGAGAATGGGTTCCCAGTGGCCAAGGCCTTTAAAAGATGGGTGGACATGCCCTGGCCGGTGTGGCTCAGTGGATAGAACGTCGGTCTGCGGACTCAAGGGTCCCGGGTTCGATTCCAGTCAAGGGCGTGTACCTTGTTTGGGGGCACGTCCCCAGTGGGGGGTGTGCAGGGCCAACTGATCCATGTTTCTAACTCTCTATGCCTCTCCCTTCCTCTCTGTAAATAAAACAATTTAAGAAAAAAAGGTGGGTCTACATGAGATGAATTGGAGGCTGATAGGAGGAGACTAGGGCTGGTACATAGTTACTTCTCTAAACACTCACCAGGGTTTGCTGTGACCCTTGGTGTGGCCGGGAGTGGCGGTCAGTCTTGTGGGTTAGCTTAGAGGCTTGAGTGGTCACCTGGCAGACGCACTGGGCTTGGTGCAGAGGACACCGGGGCTGGGACTGGAGTGACGGGCTGTGCCTGGTGAAGGGACATCAAGTGCAGCACCAGGGGAGGGCGCTCTGGGTGTCTGAGATCTGATGTGGTTCCCAGTAGGTGAGTGTGAAGGAAAAAACAGTAATGGAGGGCAGGACTCAGAGCTGCCTCTATGAGGGTGGACTCTCAGAGTCCGCGCAGGACTGGGTCCTGTTTGAAGTTGGCGAGCATTCTTCGGACCACACCTGCTGAGTAATGAGGAAGGACATGCCTGTGGGGGCCGGGCTGCGGGAGTGCAGGAGTGAGAGAGAGAGGTGTGGGAGAGAGAGATGTGCACGTGAGAGGGAGCGAGAATTCATGGCCACGGGGCCCTGGCATTGACAGGAGAGTTGATGAAGGGTGAGTCCGTTTCGGTGGGATCCGGATCGTACAATAAGGGGAATTTTAGAATAATTTCCTGAAAAGAGGGGTGCTGTGTGCCAGTTCCAGAGCTCAGATGTCATATGTGTGCAAACGTGCCTGTTGCTGTTGAGGGATGACACAGCAGTGAGACCGCATACAGCGGTGTAGCCTGGGCTTGCATATCTGCCGGCACGGGGAAGGGAGATGAGAGAGAGATACACTACAGAGGGGATCAGTCAGTTTTGGAAAAGATGGTGATTAGGAAGTAAAGCCGTCCCTGTCACCCCGTATGGGTGCTCCCTGTGAAGTGGTGCCTCTGGGAATGAAGCATGTGGGACACGTGTGGTTCAGAGAGGTGTGTGCAGCAGGTGGTGCAAAGGGATGGCCTCGCAAACTGGAACTCGGGTTGAAAAGGTGAATCGGGCATAGGTGAATCGCCCATCGGACTCCTCCTCCTTCTCCTCTTCCTCCCTTTCCTTCTCCTCCCTCCCCCTCCACCATGATTTTAGTGTCCTTGAGGTACAATCTGGGGGACTAAAGGGTATTGCCTGACAGGGCCATTGTCAGATCACTCACACTCTCTTTATGGCCAGCATCCCTCCCTGCCCTGTGTTTGTGACACCCACTGCTGTTGACCAGGGGCAGTGTGGCCTACATGGGAGTCCCAGAGCACAGGTGTCATCTCTGTGCCCGTCTGCCCTTACTGTTGCGGGAAGACACAGTGTCAGTGGGAATGAAAGGGCAGAGTGACTTTGGTGGACAGAGGCCTGGTATCTTCTCTGATGTGGGGAGTAGAGGAGCAGATGGTGTGAAGGGTGGGGAGAATGAAAGACTCGGAATCTTAGGAGAGAAGCTGGTCATGGACTGAACTGTCCCCGTTACCACAGGAGATGGACTTTGAGGACGTGGCCGTCGCCTTCTCCCAGGAGGAGTGGGGGCTCCTGGATGAGGCTCAGAGACTCCTGTACTGCGAGGTGATGCTGGAAGTGTTTGCACTGGTCTCATCTGCAGGTAAGACCTGCCCCTCCTCCCAGTGTCCTGGGGTGACGCCCCTTTTCTCTTTATCCTCCAGATGTGGCTTCCTCTCCCCCACAGTCAGGCCACAGCGGGGGCTCTGCTCACCCCCCCACATTCCTGTTAACTGGGCCGTGGCTGCCCGTGGTGAGCCGTGTGGCGTGTCCGTCCAGCGGACCCCACGAACGTCCATAACACAAAGTGCAGGAAGCGCCCGGGAGGCAGGAGTCTCGCAGGCAGCCCCCTGGGTGCCACCTTGCCCCACCTCTTCGCGGCACAGTGATTGTGTCCTCCCAGTGGCTTCCACTTCCGCCCCTTCCTCCGCAAAGAGCTCTGTGTGACAGCCTGTGCCAGGGCGTGGTCTTTACTTGCATGAACCATGAGCTGTTCTTGTAAGGCCCTCCCCTCCCTCCGTTGTTTGTGATATTCTGTTCCCTGAATACTACTGCAGGCTGTGGTGGTCAGGGCCAGTGCTGGCCGCTCACCTCTGCTGTCCTTCCCTGACACTCAGTATTTGCCCTTTGTGTGCTTGTGCAGTGGAAGGCGCAGGGGGAACCCTGTTCCGTTCACAGGGCGCACACGCACGATGATCTTGGGGGAGGCCTGGCCTGGCTTAGTGGTACCCGGGGGAAGGGGTGCCACAGGGGCTGTGTTCAGATTACACCAGGGACATCCTGATGCCCAGTGTTTAGATGCAAATGCCTCCGGCCACATCTCATTTCTTCTTTTTTTTTCCCTTATTGACACGTTGCTGACTTGTCCTTGAATCTGTGACTTCCTGGCTTTTGCGTACCTTCCCCATTTGGGCTCTTTGTATCACCCTCTGCACTGCTGCCTCTGCATTCCTGGTGTTTCGTCACACTGACCAACACGTGTGTTGTGAGGTGCACACTCATGCTTAGGTAGTCTTCCACACCAGAGCAGGTGCTGGCTACTGACTTTTACTCGGGAGAGGACATTGCCAGCCTCATGCCCAGCTTGCCCCCTGCACCCGCAGACGAGCCCTGCTGGGCGCTGCTTCAGGCGGTCGGGCTTCTCTTCCACGTGGGCCTTGCCATCTCTGTGTCCTGTTTCTGGGGAGGTCTTTCCTGTGTTGTAATCTTCAGAGGCCCAGACCTTCACAGCGGCCTCTTATTAACGCTTCCCGCACGCCTTGTGTTTTCAGTCAGTGGCATTGAGCCCATGCAATATGCGCAGAACACGTTAGCCATGGGACTCCCCGTCACCGCAGCCAGCAACCCGTGCCTGTCATTTCTCTCTCTTCAGGTTGCTGGCATCAAACGGAGGAGGAGGAGGAGGCCCGTCCTGCGCACAGCGTGTCTGTGCACGGGGAGCCCCAGGTCCGTGATGCTCAGGCAGCTCCCGCCACCCCGAGGGCCCGTCTCTGCGGGCGGTGTTTCTCGGTGTTAAAAGACGTTCTGCGCCTGACTGAGTCGCCGGCAGCAGACTTTGACCCGAAACGCTACTTTGGTGATGCGTGTGTGAGGGTCTTCTGTTTCAGCGCACACCCTCACCAGCCGCAGAGGGAAGCCGGGGGCCAGAAGGCCTGGGCGGAAGCTGTGGACGGGGCCCCGCTTGTGACCAGGTGCAGCCTCACCTTATCAGAGCTGCCTTCCACCAGCGGCGAGGCTGGGGAAGACTTCCCAGCCATCCCAGCGCTTCCCCTGCACCCGGCCCTCCTCAACCCCGAGGAGCCGCACGGCGGCAGCGAGATTACGCTGGAGTTACTCAGCGAGGAGAGCTATCCCTACTGGGGCGAAGATGACATCGCTGCCTCCCACAGCCAGGACATTGTTCAGCATCAGGCTGGCTTTCCCGAAGGAAAGATGTACGAGTGCAACAAGCGCAGGACCGTTTTTAGCCGCATCTTGAACCTCAAGCCCCACAGGAGCGTGTACGCCGAAGAAAGCCCGTATGAGGACAGCGACTGCGACAAGGACTTCGGTCCGAGCTCCAACCTCCGGCCGCGCAAGAGGGTCTACGCCGGTAAGAAGCCCTACGTGTGCAGCGACTGCGGGAAGGCCTTCAGCCAGAAGTGCGCCCTCATCCAGCACCACCGGATCCACACGGGGGAGAAGCCGTTCGCGTGCAGCGAGTGCGGGATGGCCTTCCGGCAGAAGTTCACCCTCATCCAGCACTACCGGATCCACACGGGGGAGAAGCCGTACAAGTGCACCGTGTGCGGCAAGTCCTTCAGCCAGAGCTCCTACCTCAGCCTGCACAAGAGGACGCACACCGGCGAGAAGCCCTTCATCTGCAGCTTCTGCGGCAAGTCCTTCAGCCAGAAGTGCACCCTCATCCAGCACCACCGGATCCACACCGGGGAGAAGCCTTACGAGTGTCACGAGTGCGGGAAGGCCTTCCGGAGCAACAGCCACCTCTACTACCACAAGCGGGTCCACACGGGGGAGAAGCCGTACGCCTGCGCCGAGTGCGGCAAGTCCTTCATGCTGGTGTCCACGCTGACGGAGCACCAGCGGATCCACTCCGGGGAGAAGCCCTACCAGTGCGGGAACTGCCGCAAGTCCTTCAGCCGCAGGTCCAAGCTCATGGGCCACCTCAGGATCCACACGGGGGAGAAGCCGTACGAGTGCAGCGAGTGTGGGGAGTGTTTTCGGTGGAAGCCCAGCCTGGTCAGACACCTGCGGGTCCACACGGGAGAGAAGCCTTAGCCGCACAGGGGGTGTCTTGTCTCTCTCACACTACAGCGCTGACGGGGACTCGGGCCCGCTCACCTGAGCGTAAACTCCTTTTGTTGGGGCACACGCTCCCCTCGGCTCCTCACAGGTTTGAGGTACAGGGGGGGCTCGAAGGAGCCGCATGGTACTTGCCGATGTGCCGAGACCTGGCTCAGCTGGATGGCGTGCTCAGGGGACGTGTGTGCTGTGTTCTCCCTGTGCTTGAGGAAGTTGTGAAGACTCCGAGCTCCTGGCAGGGTCTTCATTCCTTTCTCTGACTAAGGCATGGGCCCACCCCGGGCCTCGTCCAGAGGCCCCATCCTCTCTCAGGGACGCTGTGGGTCTCCCCTTTTGCTGTCACGAGTTGCTTCAGCTTCTCACTCACCAGCCTGCAAACCGCTTGCTGTGCACGGCTCTGGACGGTGCCGTTTCTGTAGCAGCATTTTTGCTTTTGTACCTTTAGTCCTGGTGGTCCTGGTCGCCGCCTGGGGTGGTTTGCAAGCACAGTTGTGGCCTGTCAGCACGTAGAGTTACCAGGTACCGTGGGGATCCCACGCTCTCTGTGCTTCAAGGAGGGACACAGAGAGGCAGGAAATCACTCTTTGTCCAGTACTGTCCTAGTTTGCATTCTGCCCAGGGCCTTAAAATAAAGACCGTGTGACTTTGTGGTTCTATTTTGCAGGTTTGATCCTTGGCTCCCAGTTGCGGCTAGTTTAGGAGACATCCAGCCATTGTGTGTGTGTGTGTGTGTGTGTGTGTGTGTGTGTGTCTCTGACCCCTCCCTTACATTCTCTGAAAAATTAACAGAGCTCTGGCTGGGTTTGCTCAGTGGGTAGAGCCTGTGGACCGAAGGTTTCGATTCCGGTCAAGGGCGCTTGCTCGCGTTATGGGCTCAGTCCCCAGTCGGGGGGGGGGTGCAGAAGGCAGCCGATGGGTGATTCCCTCTCATCATTGATGTTTCTCTCTCCCTCTTCCTCCTCTGAAACCAATAAAAATGTATATTAATTTTTATTTCTTTTTTAAACAGACCATCCACTCTAGTTCACGGCGATGGGGCCGCTGCCTGCACAGCCCACCTTTCCTCACTCTCTTCTGCCTTTGCCTGGCGGGGCCCCACTGCAGCTGTGGACTAAAGGGTCCCGGGTTCGATTCCGGTCAAGGCCATGTAGCTTGGTTGAGGGTACATCCCCAGTGGGGAGTGTCCAGGGTCATGGCAGCAAGGATCCCGAGGCAGGTCCCTGGGAGGCTTGGGGCTCTGTGTCCGGCTGAGAGGAGCTTCCAGGGCTCTTTGTCTCCATGCACAGGTCTCTCCCGCCTGCTCTCCCAGGCCCCTGGCCCCTGGCCCTCAGCAGTGGAATCTGCTTTCTCTGGGAGAAGCTCCTGAGCCCCACATCAGTTCACCTTCGGACAGTCCTGCCTTCGACCAGCCTGTATACACCCCTGAGGCCCACTGGTGTTGAGTCTCTGCTTTTTTCATTTTAGGGGTAATTTTCTACTTTGAATTTTTTTTTCTTCTCTTTTAAAATATATTTTATTGATTTTTTTTTTTTTTTTTTTTTTTTTTTTTTTTACAGAGAGGAAGGGAGAGCCAGAAACATCGATGAGAGAGACACATGAATCAACTGCCCCCTGCACACTCCCCACTGGGGATGTACCTGCAACCAAGGTCCATGCCCTTGACTGGAATCGAACCCGGAACCCTTTAGTCCGCAGGCCGATGCTCTATCCACTGAGACAAACCGTTCAGGGTTTTATTATCCACACACACCCACACCCCCCCCGCCCCCAGCACCATCACCTCCCAGGCAGTCGTGGGGGTAGCTTGGATTCTCCAGGAGGAGGCTGTGCATTTGCCAAGGACGTTGTGTGATACACGTGCTTACAGAAGGAGAGGCTTGGACTCGAACCGATGCCACGTTGAGGGGGCACGTTGCCGTCGCCCCTCTCCCTAGATTGGGCCTGTGCCGAGCAGCCCCCCCGCCCCTGCATTGAGGTGAGGGACCCTGGGCTCAGGGTATCCATGTGCTGCTGGGGTGTGTGGTGGAGCGAGCAACAAGGGCTGGCGAGGGTGTTTCCCGTCAGCACGTGGGTGGGAGGGCTGCGGGGCGGCTCCGGTGAGGAGAACCTGAATCGGGCTGCATGGAGGGGCAGCAGCCACGGCGGCACAGCCGAGACCCGTACGGACTGTTCCAGACTCTGGAGGTAGCGAGTCCCCTGCCCCTGGGAACTGGCGATCTGGGGAGGACGGCCCACAAAGACGGACCAGGGGAGCGAGGGCAGGTGACAGGAGCGAGGGGTCAGTGAAGGGCCGATGTGCCGTACCTTCCACAAAATCAGTGGCCAGAAAACATCAATGCCAGAGGGACATTTACAGGACCGAATGCAAATAGAGAGCCCAGTGGTTTAAAACTCTTTGCTTATTGATGATTATAATCATACGTGCCGCAAGGAGACGGCAATGATGGTGAACTTGCACAGAATTTCGAAAACCCTGGCCGGAAAGCACCGTAACGAGGCAGGACATGCCATCGAGGAAATAATGTTTGAGGTGATGAGGCGCAGATCTGGAGTGTCTTCTCTGTTGTCCTGACCAAACTTACAGAGACTGAGGAAGGGGCGTGGTGATGGGGAGTGCATGCCTTTGCCTTGAAATAGACCATGAGACCCTGGCCGGTGTGGCTCAGTGGACAGAGCATCGGTCTGCGGACTGAAGGGTCCCAGGTTCGACTCTGGTCAAGGGCATGGACCTTGGTTTCGGGCCCACCCCCTGTACGAGGTGTGCAGGAGGCAGCTGATCCATGTTTCTCATCAATGTTTCTAGCTCTATCCCTCTCCTTTCCTCTCTGTAGAAAATCAATGAAATATATTTTTTAAATAATAATAATAATAAAAATAAAGAGGAGGCAGAGCCCACCTGGATAGTCCACTTCCCTGCAAACCTCGCTGCTGAGCCTGAGTCCTGCAAATTAAGCCCTTTCCCCCCCTCCCTCCCTCGCTGCCTTTCCTGCAGCCTAGGGAAGGAACTACATTTCCCAGAATGCCCAGAGTGGAGCGGCAGCACCCCTAGCCAATGAGGACAGAAAAAAAAGGCTGTCGCTTGTGACGCAATGCGGGAGGGCGGGACTTCCTGCGACTCCAAGGGCGGCCCGTTCGTCCCTGTGGGGTTTGTCGGCCGGAGGTTCGGAGCGCTAGGTCCGGTCCGGATCCGGGTGCCGGTTCCGAAGGCGGCGGGAGCCTCTCCCCGCCGCACGGACGCGGGCGTGAGGCTCGGCGGCCCCGCGAGGGACCCGCTTCGGGGCGGGAGGTGCCGCCCCGCCCGCAGGTCCGATGGCGGCGGCCGCGCCCCGGCGCCCGGCTGAGGTGAGCGCGTCCCGCCTCCCGCTCCGCCGCCCGGCCGGTCAGGCCCGGGGGCTCGGGGGCCGGTCAGGCCCGGGGGCGCGGGGGCCGGTCAGGCCCGGGGGCGCGGGGGCCGGTCAGGCCCCGGGGCGCGGGGGCCGGTCAGGCCCGGGGGCGCTGGGGCCGGGGGACGGCGGCGGGGGTCGGCGGGTCCGGGAGGCGGCGGCCCCTCCCCGGGGTCCCCGCCCCGCGGCTGCGGAAGGGCTGGCGGGACTGTTGTGGGGTCGGACCCTGGAGTCAAAATAAGACCGCGGGAGGCTGCTGGGTGATTTCTTTAAAAAGCAGGCAAAGGCCCTGGCCGGTGTGGCTCAGTGGTAGAGCGTCGGCCTGCGGACTGAAAGGTCCCGGGTTCGATTCTGGTCAAGGGCATGGACCTGGGTTGCAGGCACATCCCCAGTGGGTCAGGTGACCAGACGTCCCGACGCCTTTGGCGGGACAGTCCCGATTTTTAACGATTTGTAACGCGCGGGACAAATGGGTGAAAATCGGACTGTCCCGCCAAGGGCCGGATGTCTGGTCACCTTGCCAGTGGGGGGCGTGCAGGATGTTTCTCACTGGTGTTTCTGACTCTTTCCCTCTCCTTTCCTCTCTGTAAAAAATCAACAAAATATATTTTAAAATAATAATAATAATGATAATAAGGCCACCGAAGGCTGCTAATTGATTTTAAAAAGGAGGCAATGATTTATTGAACTGGCCAGGACGGCCGCGAGAGACCACACGCAGGTGGAGTCCACACTCACGACCTCCCCAGGTGTAGGCAGTCCTTTCAAAGGACTTTCTCAGGCTCCAAGTCGAGACGGTGAGGGTGGGGGTCGGGGCCAGGGAGGGACAGGGTCCCCCCCTTCCCTGTGGTCCTGAAGTATGGTAGCAACCATCCTTAGGGAAAAACTGCTGTTTGAATTTTAACCCTGCCATTCTACCGTGTTTCCCCGAAAATAAGATCCTCTGAAAACAAGACCTACTTACAGGTTTCCTTCTGAGTGAAATATAAGGCATTCCCCCCGAAAAATAAGGCCCCCCTAGGCTAAACATGAGAGATTTGGTCCACTGATTCTGAAAGAAATGGAGTCACAAGAAATTCTCCAGGAATTTCAGGAATTGGATTGTTATGATGATGGTCCAGAAGATGATGACATGATTGTCATTGAATAAATGAGTAAATTCTTGGTACTGTAGGATTCACAGTTTGTCTGGTTTGTGTTGACAACGACTGTACTACTGTACCGTATACAGGTAATAAATGTCCTTTATTTTCATTTAACAATAAATGTGTACCGTATTCTTCTTCATGGAAAAATAAGACATCCCCTGAAAATAAGGCCTAGCACATCTTTGGGAGCAAAAGTTAATATAAGACATTGTCTTTTTTTCTTTTTTCTTTTTTGGCACCCCAGATGGGACACGAAAGGACACTGTCTTATTTTCGGGGAAACAGGGTAGTTGCCTCAGCTTCCAGACTGAGACCTGGAGGCTCACAAAGGTAACTTTGCTGTGCCCGGGGCCCAGGACCACAGGAGACTGATTCCCACAGCCTCAGTAGCTCCAGGGAACTGTCCAGGTGGGCTCTGCCTCCTCTTTAAAGGGACCGCTGTCATTTTCCTCCAGGCGTAAGCAGTCCTTTGAAAGGTCTACCATAAGCATTTCCCTTGGCTCTAAATTCTAAAGGCTGGGAACAGCCCGCAGGGTCGCTCCCGACCACATCCTGCTGGACATGGCAATGTGGACCCATCTTGTGAAAGCAGGCAGTACAGAAGCAGAACGGAGCAAAGTTCATCCCTAAAGGTTATCTGTAAAAATAATAATAATAATAGTAAGTAAATAAAGGTTATCTGCAAAAAATAATAAAGGTTATCTGCAAAAAATAATAATAAATAAAGGTTATCTGCAAAAATAAAAATAAATAAATGAAGGTTATCTGCAAAAGTAAAAATAAATTAGTAAATAAAGCTGATCTGCAGCTTCTACTCCTGGAGCTCCTGGGTCTGAGGGGATCGGTCTCCTGTGGCCCTGGGCCCCGGGCACAGAATTGCCTCAGCCTCCAGGTCTCAGACTGGAAGCTGAGGGAGCTTTCCTGTTGTTTAAGCCAGTCAGCGCGTGCTGAAGCCAGGATAGCAGGGTTCACATTCAAACCCCCGTCCTCACCTAAGGATGGTTGCTACCACACTTCAGGACCACAGGGAAGGGCGAGTAGAAGGACCCCATCCTGCACTGCCCCCTCGTCCCCCACTGTCTTTTCTCGGCCTTGGAGAGCTGGTCCCCAATCTGGGGAACCCGAGAGCCTGGAGACACCCCGAGCTCAGGACCCGGCCCCACACAACGGTCAAGTGAAGGTGCTGCTGGCATCGCCGTCAGCCCATTAAACCCCCCTTGGGCGGTGATGCCTGAGCTGGCCGCAGGCCGTGTGGCTCTCCGGGCAGAACTGAGCTGAGTGTATAGGGAGCTTCTGGTCTCCTCCTGGGGAACAAAGGGCCCAGGCGGGACCCTGTCCACCCTGAGCTCGTGAGGCCACAGTGGCTCCAGGATGGGGATAGTCCTTTGTTTTTTTCTTTTCGTCTTTTTAAATATATTTTATTGATTTTTTTACAGAGAGGAAGGGAGAGAGACAGAGAGTTAGAAACATTGATGAGAGCCGAGACTGGTTTGGCTCAATGGATAGAGCGTCGGCTTGGGGGCTGAAGGGTCCCGGGTTCGATTCCAGTCAAGAGCATGTACCTTGGTTGCGGGCACATCCCCAGTAGGGGGTGTGCAAGAGGCAGCTGATTGATGACGCTCTCTTATCGATGTTTCTAACTATCTCTCTCCCTTCCTCTCTGTACAAAATCAATAAAATATATATTTTTTTTAAAAAAGAAAGAAACATTGATGAGAGAGAAACATCAATCAGCCGCCTCCTGCACACCTCCTACTGGGGATGTGTCCACAACCAAGGTCCATGCCCTTGACTGGAATCGAACCCTGGACCCTACAGTCCACAGGCCGACACTCTATCCACCGAGCCACACCGGTTTCGGCGGGGATTGTCCTCTGAGCTGGGGAGACTGGGAGAAGGACAGGCACAGAGTGTGTGTGTGGGGGGGGGGGGGGGAGCAGGGAGGTTTTGGGGGAAAGGATTGTGGGTTCTCGGGAGAGGAGCCTTGTCTGGTTTCAGCCTTCCCCATCTCGCCAGGGCAGGGTGACCTTTGAGGACGTGGCCGTGTCCTTCTCCTCGGAGGAATGGGAGCTCCTGGATGAGGCTCAGAGACGCCTGTACCACGATGTGATGCTGGAGAACCTGACACTGATAACCTCCTTGGGTGAGGATTTCAAACACACATCGCCCGCCCCCCCCCATTCCATGGGCAGTAACGTCTGCCCTTCCCTTTTCCCCCAGTAGCAGGTCTGTCCTCAGATTTCTTCCCCAGGCCCCTGGGTAGGTGCTGTGCTTAGACCCTGGATAGATGCTGTGCTTAGTTAGACCCCTGGATAGGTGCTGTGCTTAGTCCCCCGATAGGAGCTGTGCTTAGTCCCCCGATAGGTGCTGTGCTTAGACCCCTGGGTAGGTGCTGTGCTTAGTTAGACCCCTGGTAGGTGCTGTGCTTAGTTAGTCCCCTGGGTAGGTGCTGTGCTTAGACCCTGGGTAGGAGCTTTGCTTAGTCCCCTGGATAGTTGCTATGCTTAGTTAGTCCCCTGGGTAGGTGCTGTGCTTAGTTGGGTTGAGGTCTCTGCATGGCCCTCTCCTTCCCTGAAGAGCCCCATATGTGCTGTGAAGGAATCAGGGTCAGAAGTCTTCCGATGAGCCCATGGGATACACCTGAATTGCTTCTCCCTGACTTTTGACAGAATGACTTTGCTCTGTTATGTCGTAAACCAGCAAGTGAATCTCCGAGGCCCGTAAGCAGATTAATCTGGAGGCTTTTATGACGCCGCAGGCTCGGGGGAATGTTGCTTCCGAAGTCTGAGCTGCAGTAAGGAGGGAGTGGTCCCGTCATACTGCTCTGATGTCTCTGTTCTCCTACACAGGGGCTTCCGGTCCCTTGTGCAAGTTCTCAAAAGAGCCCTGTGTATGCTCAGCAGGCACCTCCCAGGGCCTGTACCTTTTAGGAGCCTGGAGTACAGATAACTAAGAGACCCTGGCAGAGAGGTGGGCTGGGCGTATCGGCCCCTGGCGTCGGAGGACTAGCCGCAGGGTCAGGCAGCCAAGCTTGACTTCCCAAGTGTTCAAGCGAGCGTGAAGCACGTGTTCACAGAAGCTGAAAAGCAGAGCTAATTCGCAGAACGAGGGACCATCTGAACACAGCAGAGTTTCAAACAGCAGTTTTGCCAATAAGAGGTTACTGCTTCCGTGCAGACCCCAGGCCCGGTGCGCCAGCTCCTGTGCCTCCCGCTAGCAGACATTGCCTCAGGCCAGCCTGGGCCAGGAGTCCCCATGGCTGACAGGGTCCCCTCCCGTGTGCTGTGGGCTGGTCTTGCGAGACCCTGTTCTCTGTGTGGTGTTTGGTTTTCTTTTCTGTTGGCTGTGACGTGCCGATTTGTTCTGGGCTGGTGCTGGCTACTCGTGTGTGCTGTCCTTCCCTTAGTACCCGTATAAGGTGCCATGCATTTGCTCACTGAGGGAGTTGGGTTGGGTTAGAAAGAGGTGTTTCATAGGATGTACATGAAGCCAGGCTCAGCAAAATGTTAGGAGTGGCTCCTGGAGGAGGGTGTGATGCCAGTGCTGTGTTCAAATCCTACCAGACAACCATTCTGTTGGGTTACTGTTTTTTTTGTTTGTTTTTTTGTTTTAATATATTTTATTGATTTTTTACAGAGAGGAAGGGAGAGAGATAGAGAGCTAGAAACGTCGATGAGAGAGAAATATCGATCAGCTGCCTCCTGCACACCTCTTACTGGGGATGTGCCCACAACCAATGTACATGCCCTTGACCGGAATTGAACCTGAGACCTTTCAGTCTGCAGACCGACTCTCTACCACTGAGCCAAAC